CGAACCGCGGTTCTAACCGTCGGTTCCCGGTTCCAAAAATGAGGAACCGGAACCGAACCGGTTTTTTTGGTTCCGGTTCCGGTTCCGGTCAAACCGGCTCCGGTTCGGTTCTAAAACCGTTGACCCCAGTTCGGTTCCGGTTCTAACCGAACCGGTGGTCAGGTCTAACCGCAGTTGACCGCCGCTCTCCGACGTTGATTTTTTTTTTTTTAATTTCGTTTTTGAAAAAAAAAAATCTTAGATAAAAATATTTTAATTAATATTACTATCTTGCCTACTAAATTACTGTTTCATACAGTAATATTACTGTTTCAGACAATAATATTATTGTTTCGGACAGTAATATTATGAATATTATTTCCCGAACCATAATATTACTAATATTACTGTCACAAACAGTGATATTATTGCTTGAGACAGTAATATTACGGTCGAAGACAATAATATTACAGTCGAAGACAACAATAATGCAAGCCAAGACGATAAAATTAATTAATACAGTAATATTATTGTCTCAGACAGTTAAATTACTGTTGGAGACAGTAATTTTGAGCCAAGACAGTAATATTAATTAAAATATTTTTTTAAGAAAAAAAAAAATTTCAAAAATAAAAGTCAATTAACAGTTAAATTATTGTATCCGAAAGAAAAATTACTGTAGCCAAGACAGTAATATTAATTAAAATATTTTTTTTAAGAAAAAAAAAAGTCAATTAACAGTTAAATTACTGTCTCCGACAGTTAAATAACTGTGGAGACAGTAATTTAGCAGTCCAGATAGTAATATTAATTAATATATATTTGTAAGAAAAAAAAGGTTAATTAACATTAAATTACTCTATCCGACAGTTAAATAACTGCTGAAGACAATAATTTAACAACCAATACATTAATATTAGTTAAAATAGTTTTTTTAGAAAAAACAAAATTAAAAAAAAAATCAAAGTCGGAGACCCTGCGATTGAGCTACCGGAAAAGAATTTCAGAACAAAAAAAAAAGTTTTGAAAAAAAAAAAAGAGTTAACGCCGGAGACCGTGGGTCTCTGGCGGTCTCCGGTGGTGGCGAGTCAAAATTGGGGTCAAAATTGAAATTATGGTAAAAAATTGGTTAATTGGTGAAATTGTGCTAAATTAGTTAGTCGAGGTATGATCGTGGAATTTTTTATTTATTTGGGGGGCAAAGTTAAAAAATAATGTAAGGTTAATAAAGTAATTTTACATGAAGTACGATGGAGTACGGTCTTTGTACGATGTATTTTTACTGGGTTCGTACTTTAATTTATAAATTCATAGGTTCGTACTAGATCGTACTAGTTCGTACTTTAAATCAACGACTATATTTTTTTACTAAATATTTTCTACGCACCAGATTAAATCGTTTGGGTCCGAGTAGTACAACCCCTCTCGGACCCTAGACAACCCCAACTCACAAACCGTGCAAAGGTAAAAATTAAAATTAAAATTAAAATTAAAATTAAATCCTTCTGGAGAATAATGCCAATTTTTGTACTGCAGTATACAATTTATTTCATAACAATTTCACCTAATATTAGGAAACTGATGCGATCTCTTTAGTATCATAAGATTTCTGTACTAAACGTAAGAAAACTCGTCTTTATTATTTCTCTTCATAATAAAACCCTAGCACAAGACGACTATTTAAATATAAGAAAACCCTAGAATCCTAATCTAGCTAGGAAACATAATTACCTATACTAATAAAATACTTAATAATTCCCTAATCACTACTACTCACGCCATATATTAATCTAAATATACTAATCTAATCTAATTATCAATAAACTACTAATTAAAATAATACTTAAATAATATATTAAATAATAAAATACTAACTAACGAATAAATATACGATATATTAAATATATATCGTATCAAAACAACCCCTCTTAAAATGAACCTTGTCCTCAAGGTTCGAGTCAATTTGGTCCCTCTCTTTTGCGTTTCCACCTATGTTTGACTTCATCGACTTGCTTCCCGATTAACTCCGATTCCGAAAAACACGATGAACGACCAAGCTTATTAACACATTGTTCATGCTGATCCAACAAAATTCCAAAGGCTACTTTTGCAAAAAATCTCAATCTTCTCAATCTCTCTCCCGATAAATCAATCTTCTCAATTGTCTTTTCAAATTTCATCTCCTTCACAATCAATATCATTCTTTTATTTTTCTCGATCGTCTTTACAGATCCGGGCTCATTCACAGTCACCAAATCTTGATCGTCTCCTTTCTTTTGAATATCGTGGGACTCTTCTACTATCCACTGTAGTTCTTCGTTCTCTTCCTTAGTTAATTCCTCACCTTCGTCCCAAATTACCTCAAGTGAATTCGATAATTCATCTTTCGGCGAACTCACAAAAAATTGGGGTTCTTCGAAAAAGTCATCGTCGTCCTCCTCCTCTCCCTTCGGCGATAGGCTTGGCAGCGGCGGCGGCGGTGGCTCTTTGAAAAATTCATCGTCATCCTCTTCCTCTTCCTCTGGCAATAGGCTCGACAGCGGCAGCGGTGGCGGTGATGGGCGGCGGTCCGTTCGGCTTTTGTGATGGCGTTGACGTCGTCCTTGACTTTGTTCGAGTAATTTCTGAAAATCGATCCGTAATTTCTCTACGGATTTTTCCAATCGCTCCAACCGTCTTGTTTCTGACATCCCGTAATTTCTCTACGGATTTTTCCATTACGGATTTTTCGGCGTTGGCGGTGATGGGCGGCGGTCCGTTCGGCTTTTGTGATGGCGTTGACGTCGTCCTTGACTTTGTTCGAGTAATTTCTGAAAATCGATCCGTAATTTCTCTACGGATTTTTCCAATCGCTCCAACCGTCTTGTTTCTGACATCCCGTAATTTCTCTACGGATTTTTCCAATCGCTCCAACCGTCTTGTTTCTGACATCATGATTTCACAAAGTTTTGATGTGATCTCAACTTTGCTCCAGCGTAGCTTTGATATAATCGCTGCCTTGCTAAGGAAGCGTTGGTGTTAATCGCAACTTCGCTCTGATACCACTGTTAGGCCCCCGTCGGGATAGCACGAACTCCACATTGGTATGATATTGTCCAGATTGGGCCGGGCCCAACTGGTTTTGCTCTTGGGTTTCCCCAAAAGGCCTCATACCAATGGAGTTGCTATCCCCTCCTTATAAAGGAGTGATCTTTCCCATATTAAACCGATGTAGGACATTGTTTGCACCTCAACAATCCTCCCCTCGAACAAAGGACCACATAGGACCACCGAGCCTCCCCTCAATTTGCGCCTGGGGCTCACACCATCTTTGTTTCAGAGCGCACCGAGCCTCGAACAAAGGAACACTGAGCCTCCCACTTGGAGCTCGTCGAGCCGCCTGCCATTTGCGCACACCGGGAGCTCACATTTTTGTTCGGCACCGAGCATTCGGGAATTTCCACCACATGGTTAGGTCTGGGCCATGGCTCTGATACCACTTGATGCGATCTCTTGAGTATCATAAGATTTCTGTACTAAACGTAAGAAAACTCGTCTTTATTATTTCTCTTGATAATAAAACCCTAGCACAAGACGACTATTTAAATATAAGAAAACCCTAGAATCCTAATCTAGCTAGGAAACATAATTACCTATACTAATAAAATACTTAATAATTCCCTAATCACTACTACTCACGCCATATATTAATCTAAATATACTAATCTAATCTAATTATCAATAAACTACTAATTAAAATAATACTTAAATAATATATTAAATAATAAAATACTAACTAACGAATAAATATACGATATATTAAATATATATCGTATCAGAAACTTCTTGAAACTTGGAACATTCTTTTTTAACAATCAAAGAAGCATCAATCAGCCATATAAGTGCATGCAATGGGTGAATCTTCACTCTCGTGCAAGAAGCTTGCAAATTACATGAGATATGTATGCCACACTAGTCATTTCAATTTATAAAGAAATTTGAACTATGTTCTTCTAAATTCACGCTCTCTTATTCCACTAACTAGCTCATCTATTGCGGGCGGGAATATATTAATTCTTATTTAAGTATCGAGTTGTTGTTTCCCCACTACTTCTGAAATTTCATAAGATCCATTAGAGTTCAATTAATTTGGTAATAAAATTCGGGTAATTATTTCAATTGACTTGAAATTTTAGATCGATTTGAATTTTGTAAGAGACTCCGAATATAACCTAAATTGAAAGTTAATGGTTTGCAGTTCATTGTCCAATCTAAAAAAGTTCGACATAAATTTGTTATTATAGATTTTAAATCTTCACTCAAATCCTTATACCCAAATGCAACCTTAATTTTTTCCATCGATTTGTGTTAGGGTTTGAGATATCAGAGAGAGAGGGAGATCGGAGAAGAAGAAGGAAGGAATTATATATCGAACTGTGAAACTCAAGTTTACAAATGATCGTAGCTGCCTAACTAACTAACACGTTGATCAACGAATTTATAACTAACTATCCAGCTAAGCTTACACGTGTTGATTATTCATAGGCTATTAGCTAATAGCTGAAAATATAACGAAAATAGCTAAACTTGTAGTCATCAGTGGAAAGCCTCTTCCAGAACGACGTCGTTTCCTCCATCGTTCCACCAACTAGCATAACTACTGTAACAATTTGACTTTGAAGAGACGCTTTGAGCAAAAAAATATGGAATGAGGTAAACTTAAAAATCCAACAAAATATTTCAAAAAATAAAGTTAAACTAAGAAGTGAATATTTGGCATTCAATATAATCAGTCTGTCATAATGAAAATCAGTAATTCGGTATACTAGAGAACCATACTTGTGTATAACAAAAACACCAATTTGGAACAAAGGTTTTAAAAACAAAGTAATACGGCAAAAGTTATCTTCCCAATAAGGCAACGCGGTCCTTTTGCACGGTTTGTGCCAAATTAATGTCGAAAAGCTCGCAACGGATAGGCATCTCCATCTCGTAGAAAGGGTTCTTTAAAACATAATCGGTGTACAGCTCGTATATATTTTTCAACAGACTCTCCATGTGAACGCTTCCAGGCTCCGACACCACAAAGAATTTCGTGCCTACACGAAAAAAAAATTAAATAAATAAATAATTATAACTCCGCAAATCCTTTTATTGGATTATATATTACGGAAGTATTTTTAGAACACCTTGATTAATGAAATTTAAGCAAACAATTTAGTAGTTTGATATGCTTGCAAACAAACTTGTAATTTCAGCATATTTTTCTCTAATGTTTTAAATGACTTTAGAAGTACACAAGCGAGTAGCCCATACATATTTAATTTTCCTATACAGTCTAATTGTAGAGTTCGTGATTTTTTTTTTCCGTTAATATCAAAACAAGATTAAAAATAGCAACCCGGTTAAGAAAATAAGTAAAACCTCAACTTGATTTAAATAAAATATTGCTGAGTTCATTTTAGTTAACATTACCGATAAGCCGTTATGGCAAATGTGTAGATAATAAAAATAACAAATGCACAAACGTCCAACGCAACATTCAATTATCTACAGAAATGCCATTAAACCACATAAACTATTGTGTATGTTCCATTTTGAGATTATAGCTTACAACAGCTTACTCTAAGGTGGTGTTTGCAAAAGCTTTTGAAAATAGATTATGAGTTTGTTTCTGCATATAATATGTTTTTAGGTGTTTGCAAAATAAACTTTTGCTTTTGCTTCTCTAAAAATAAGTTGTTTTAAGCTATAATTTTAAAAACACCCATGTACCTGCTTAATCTATTTTAGTTGATTTTTCACCGAATTTGCAAAACACCCCCCAACTTTTAGAAATAATCACTTAATCTCAACTTAACTCACAATCACTAACTTTTGCTTTTAAAGAAGCTTTTGCAAACACCACCTAAGAGAAGCAGAAGCAAAAGTTACTTTTGCAAACATTCAAAACAGATTGTAAACCGAAAAAGGCTGATAAGACGTTTTTCAAAAGTTCAAGATCGAAAAACTCCAATCTACAAGCCAATGTTATATGCCATATGCGAGCCCGTCAATTAGTTCTAATACCACAAAACCGAAAACATGTTACGAGCCGAAACCAAAGGCCAAAAAAAAGCAACACCAAACTTCCTTAGATTTCGTCGTTTACAAGTGAGACCCTCCTCATTACTAATTTGCCCATCACTGCTTCCTCTTAGTCTTCTACTACACACCCAAAGATTTCGAAACTTCTAACGTTCGTTAATCCGATTACGCATATCCAAGATGCGGATCATAGTAAAGATTTAAAGGAAGTTAAAGCTCAATAAAACAGTCTTCAATCTCAGATTCTACCTGCAACTCAAATTTACTAAATTACCTAATCCCATCTTAAATATAACCATTAGTCCGTGTTGTAAGGCCTTGTTTGGTTAGGGAGATTAGCCATGATTAACTAAATAATTGAAATTTGTTTGATGTTTGGTATCCTCAATAACCTGCCAGATCGACCCGCAAATATTATGTTAACACCCACTCTAATTCTCTTCAAAAACCCTAATTCTACCTCTCCAAGTCCACCGAAATCCACCGAATTCAATCCAGAAACTAAAAATTGTTTATATCAATACCTAAAAAAATGTGACAGATCGATCAAAATGAACCCTAATTGCGAAACACAAAATGAAAAAAAATTCTAACCAGTGAGAGATTGGAAACAGTGAAGATCGAAATGATCAGCCTGAAGGAGCTCAATTCCAGAGCAGCCATTGACGGGGGAAAGCTGCTGAGAGATGGCGTGCATCGAGTGCCAGAGGCTCGCTAATCTCAACGTATCGTTCGTATCCATTCTTCCCGCCGAACCATAATCCTGAATCAACACAAAGACCGTCATTTTTTTTTTTTTTTTTTTTTAATTAGGGTTTGAAAATTCAGAAGAATAGGAAAAGGGGGTGTTTTAGTGTTTGTTTACCTTGTAGTAAATGAGGCCACCTGATTTGTTGATTATGTAGAGGCTGTAAATCGCTGCCATTGTTGAGTGAGGTGGTGATTTCAGCGAAGATTTTTGAGAAGAATGTGAACACAAATTGATTGTTGATTGTTGATTGTTGAAAACAACCTCTTCTCTTCAGATCTCAAGCTTCATTTTTGTTTCGGGAAATTACTGTTTTGGTCCCTTAAGTTTACACTGATTTCATATCTGACCTCACTATGTTTTAAAATATATATATATATTTGATCCTTATGTTTCGACAATTTGACACTTTTGATCATTTTTGTTAATTTATCTTTAGTCCGTCAATTAAATAGTGATGGATGCATGTTTGATTACGTTAGTTACTAAATAAAAATTGACGGAAATGACCAAAACTACTGAATTTTTGAAATATAAAGGATCAAATATGTTTTTAGCGAATATAGAGGACCAAATGTGAAATAAGTGCAAATTTAAGGGACAAAAACTTTAAATTTCTATTTTCGCTTCTCATTTTTAACTTTTCTTTAAATTCCCCCTAAAGGACATACAATAGACATTTATCCTCCGCAAGAGTTATACAGTAGATATTGAAGTCTGGACCAAATTTCAAAATTTCGTGGATTTTGCCGACTTTGGAACAAATATTTTCAGGAATATAATAGACGTCGTTTCAGTTTTAAAAATACTATTTCAATTCAAATGTGATTTTACACATTTGATTATTTTTTAGTCTAAATTTAATCAAACTCAATACATAAAAATTGGTACTTTTTTTTAGTAAACTTTCTAATCCAAATTGAATTATCAAGATTAGATGTCGGGTTAGAAAGATATGCATGAATCAACGAATATTGTTCGCAACCTTGTCATTTTCAATTATCTAAATTTTCAAATGCAAGTCATTCATGCATAACGTGGTGATCCAATATCCAATTTAGTTGATCCAAGTTTTGCTAATTCAAAATAACGTTTTGCTTTTTGAGCTTTGCCAAAATCTGGATAATTATAGTTTTCGTTCCTATTTCTTTTGCCACGATTTTAGTCCTCAAAGTAACCATATTTTTACAATTTTGGAAAGCCGTTTGATTTGGGTGTTAGTTTGGACAGAAAAGTCGTGTGTTTTGCACGCAAGAATGCTGAAATATGACCCATCTTACCTTCATTTTCTATGGAGCCCCAATTTTATTTTATTCTTCAATTTCATCCAAAAAAGACTTGTATAGTATTAAAAGACTATATCTCTCAATCCTCAATCATGTGGTCTCTTCTTCCTCTATTTTCCTTCTCCTCCACCAAATCCAAGTATAGTAAAATAAGGGCAAGAATCAGCACCACTGCAGTTCCGACAATGGCGACTTGAGGTAAGGAAGATGAGTATAACTATCGGTTGAAAACCGACCGAAACGTTCTCCATTAACACTAATTGGATTTAGAGAGAGAAAGAATAAAAACCAACATCAAATGGAGAAGATTATTCCCCATTTATACATATTAATTCCTAAAGTGCTACTAGAAATAAAGTGTCTCCTACATCTAGCTAGACTCAACATCTTTTCTCATTTTCCCATATTTGTTCTTGTGATTGATCTTCTTTATATTGGTGTGTGTCATGTTCTTGTGTTTCTTAACACCCCACAGCCAGAGGCGAAGATGGTTGTTGCAGATTTGGAGATATGGTTGATGTTGTCCAAGTATGAAAGGGCTACAAATGTAAAATATTTCAAGAGTTAAGATTTTTTTTTTTTTTTTTCTATCTCGTGGCTGAGTTTTAGTTGGTAATTCTTTGCTATTCTGTATAAAACGGTCAAGCCAAAGTTATTAATGATGGAACTGCAGAAATTGGGGTTTTATTGGGATTAATATTTGTTGAGATTTATATTTTTAGGATAAAATTGTAGAATTAAAGTGAAAATTGAGCTAAATTGAAAATAGAGGCAAAAGGAGGGTCGATGAGGTTATTTCAGCATGCTCGCGTGCTCGACACGTGACTTATTGCGTCCAAATTAACACTGATATCAAACTCGGCAGACCGAAATTGTGAAAATATTGTTAGTTTGAGGACTAAAATCGTGACAAAGTAAATATTGGGGCTAAAATTGATTTTAATGTATAATATAGAACGAAAACTGTAATTATCCCGTCAAAATCAGACCACAAAAAGGTCAAAATCACACTCAAATTCAAAACGGTATTAGTAAGTCATTTTTTTCGAATTGAATTGAATGTATATATAATATTTTAGAAATTTCGATTTCCGAACCAATTTTGATATCCGATAATTCCATTTTTTTTAAGTTGTTTTAGTAAATAATCATTCTATATTATACATAAAACCACTACATTAAATATTATATCATGTTTTTAACAAGTGGGAGGACTATATATTATTTTAATTTAAATCGTTTAACAAAGGCATAACTAAGGGCAAAGAAGGTAATTCAATTAATCCTTACATCTGGCGTTAGGGAATTGGACCTGGCAATAGTGACCCCCGACACCGGCCTTTAAAAATACAAATACAAGCATTCAATTGTAAGGCTTGCGTTCCAACAATGGCCACGTATCATCTACAGCCATGGCAGCTGCCAAACTTCCCTTTACAAAAGCTCGCTCTCTCTCACATTCAAATCTCAACGAGAAAAACACGCATTCGCAATTATGGCGGAAATCAGCAGCAAACCCCAACCGACGGTGGCGATCAACAAGCTGAAATTCACCTACCCTGGAATCGACGGCCATCCTCCGCCGGGCTCCGCCCCTTTGATCGAAGATTTCTCCCTCTCTCTCTTCCCCGGAGATCGCTGCCTCTTCGTCGGATCCAACGGCGCTGGTAATCTCCATTCTTCATTTGTGTGTGTGTTTAACTGTAATGTGTGTATGTAATTGAGCAAAATGGTTGATTTAATTGATGTGTGATTTGCTGATTTTAGGGAAAACGACGATATTGAAGATAATAGGAGGGAAGCACATGGTGGATCCAGATATGGTGAGGGTGTTGGGCCGATCCGCTTTTCACGACACCGCTTTGATCTCCTCCGGCGATCTCTCTTATCTTGGCGGCGAGGTTTCTCAAACTAATCTCTTTCTTCTTCATATTGTTTTGCTTTTACTAGTTTTTTTTCTTGTTACTTGCGATGTATGTTGTAAATGTGTTTGATTGTGTGCGTTTACGATCAACGTGTGAGAATGGAAGTCGAATCGGGCAATGGCATATATGTGCTTTTTTTTATGTGAAAATTGCGTAATTGTTGGGATAAATTGGTAATCGAATCCAGCAAGAAGAATGTGGTAATCGTTTATGTGCAAAAATTTTAAACTATTTTAGGGTTAATTTCTATGCTACATCTAGTGAAGATTACGCTGGGTGAATTTTTACGGTTGATCTACACACACCAATGTGGGTGTGTGTGTGTTTGTGTGTACATGAATGGTAAAGATCTACCCGGTGTATTTCGCCCGGTGTAGCATAGAATAGACCCTATTTTAGTTAGAATATGATATAAACGAATGGTTCCCCGAGTTTTTAATGACTATATGTGAAGGATTTGATACACCGACATTGTAACTGGAGTAAAGGGATAGGAAATAAAATATGTGGAACAATCTTTCTAGATAAGATGGATCGCGAAAGTCGTGTTCTTTTATTTCTATTTGGAGGAATGCTCTAAACTCGAAAGGCCTTTGTTATGGATCAATTGTGCCTAATATGAAGGAAATGATAAATTATTTTCAACGCATGTTTTTTTTTTTTTTTTTTTTTTTTAGTTTTTATAATTTCGTGTAATCATAATAATACTGTGCCGTAGTTTTGATGTGTGTGAAGTTACTTATTTGCAGTGGAGACGTGAAGTTGCGTTTGCTGGATTTGAGATTCCAATTCAGATGGATGTTTCTGCTGAGAAAATGATATACGGCGTGACAGGTGTCCTTCCTCAGAGACGGGATGAACTAATTAAGGTAATATATTTTTGCGAGCAGATTTTGCCTTGGAACTTCTATAATCTGGTTCTATATTTACAAATAAATGATGAATTTTCCTAATATTGTGATCTTGGGTAACCTTTAACCATTGTTATAAATGGACTATGCTATGTTGAAGGGCTAAATCTGCATTACGAAATTGCATTACACACACTTAATTTGATAAATTTATGCATGTATTGACTGTAGTTGGATGCATACATTTGTTACGCTGCGCACATTCTTATTTGCCTCTCAAAGAAAGAAAAATTATTAATTTTTTGGGAATATCATGTAGCCGAACTAGCAGGTTTTCAATGTCAAAGAACTCGTGCGAGAAGATCACATGATAGCAAAATTGCATTTTTTTTTGTCCTATAACTTGTGCCACCTGTGATCCTAGTCTTTATATTTTTTAGCTCGCCGAACACATTGTATCAAATAACTTGAAAAAATTGTGCAATTTGTTCGTATGGATAATATGAATAGATAAGAACAAAACCATCTATTATACTAATTTTCATCTTTTTCTCTTCATTGATTCTCTTTTCCTTATTTTCTCAATTCCCCAGCTTTTTTCTTATTTCAGTGGAGTCAAATGAAGATTAACTGTAGACGCTAGAATAATAAGTCGAGTAATATGTTCTTTGATTGTAGGTTTTAGATGTTGACCTCTCGTGGAGAATGCATAAAGTATCTGACGGCCAAAGAAGACGAGTTCAAATTTGTATGGGCCTTCTAAAGCCGTTCAAGGTACATTTGTTTTTTAGACAATATCATCATTTTTTTGCTATAATATACAATTATATATACTAATATAATGTCATGCCTTTTCAGGTTCTCTTGCTCGACGAGATCACAGTTGACTTAGATGTTCTCGCTAGGGCTGACCTTCTAAGGTTTCTTAAGAAGGAATGCGAAGAACGAGGCTCTACAATTATTTACGCTACACATATTTTTGATGGACTTGAGAATTGGCCATCTCATATTGTGAGTGTGACTTTAATTCTGTAGTATTTATATCATAAAGTGGTATTTATTTATTTATTATTATTGTTTTATTTTATTTTGTTCCGTCAGGTTTATGTGGCTCATGGGAAGTTGCAACTAGCGAAGCCGATGAATGAAATCAAGGAGGCTAGCAATTTGTCATTGATGGTTAGTCGTAAACTCCAACCAAGAATCTAGTTGACTTTGCCTTTTAGTAAATCATTTATATATATCTTGTGCAACCATGAATTAGTTCTTCTCTTTTGGTTCATGAATTACACTCTTCACATCAGTGGTGGTCGAGTCGGCATAAGACTAAAGCCCAAAGGGGGCCATGGCCCCCCTCATCTAAGAAACCTACTGTTTTACATTTATTTTCAACAAGTCTAACATTGTTGGCCCCCTAGATTTTTTTTTATTTTTTATTTTTTATTTTTTGAATTTATTTATTTTTCAACCACTGCTTCAGATAAAACACAAAGTTGACGGTGAAGAAGTTCATGAGTTAAAAACAATAGAAGTTACTATAGCAATTGACATAACTATTTATAGTTGATGCCTTACATTATCTTCATTTGCAGAGAACTGTGGAGAGTTGGCTGAGGAAAGAGAGAGACGAGGATCGGAAAATAAGGAAAGAGAGGAAAGCAAACGGTCTTCCAGAACATGAGAAACGGGTCGACGGGAGTCGTGTGACGGGTGGGCCAGCCCGTGTGATAAACAATGGATGGGCTGCTGGCAGATTGAATTCAACCATTGCTGGTGAAGAAAATTTTGTCTTGAGCTCTAATAGGGTTCTCCGGTAAAATTCACACTAATATCGAAAGAGAATTTTTCATCTCTTTGCACCTTTTTTTTTTTTTTTTTTCTGTAACCAATATGGCCTTATATTGGAATATTACAAAAGCTAGATTGCTTTTTGTTGTGTGCTAAGTTGAATTTTAGTTTTAATTTTGTTTTAATTTTTATGTATTCATTGCATTTGTTTACATGCTTTGTATAGCATGTTGATGTACTATTTCTTATTTATTAAAGAGGAAACAAAACAAGGTTTACATTTTTATTTCGAATTCCCTATAATTGCTCAAAAAACAATTAAAACTGAGATTTATGGGTTTGAAATCCTTGTTAAGTCATTCAATTGGGGATGATAAATGAGCTGAGCCGACTCGTGAGGTCAATGAGCTGACTCGAAAAAAGCCCGAACTCAAGTTTTTTGAGCTCGAGCGTGAGTGTTTTTAGTTGTTCGTGAATCACGATCCGGCCTTATATTTATTTATTTATTTATTTATTATATATTATTTTTATTTAAATAATATATAGTAATATAAAATGTTATAACAATAATTTAAAAAGAACATATAAATTTTAAAAAATATTTATAACTATACTATTAATTCTATAATTTTTTTTGGTATAATATAAATAATTTATAATAATAAAAAATTAATGAAAAAAGAAATCAAAACAAGCTTGGGTTCGGGCTCGAGCTCGAGCCAAATAAAACAAATACTCAATGAGCTCGAGCTCGACAAAATAGACTTCAGCTCGAGCTCGAGCCCACCAAAACAGCCGAGCTCGGCTTATTCACACCCCTACTCAATTAAAAGAAGCTCAATGGATTTGTTAAAGATTTGAAATTCGAAATGCTTCCATCAATCCTCCCATATAAGTGTACTCTTAGGCTATGTTTGGTTCATGAATTTTAGAACAAAGAAAATGAAAATTAATGCAAAAGTAAACATAAAACAAAGAATTTTGAATGTTTTCTGCTATAGTAAAAACTTTGGGTTTTCAACAAGCTACTGTTACATCTATTTTATTAGGAATTGATGATCTTTTAACAATACCCTCCAAGAGATGGCTAGTTCAAAATGATGAACAACAAAGTTTTGTTTTGGAGAGAGACCATCATTATAGGAATATACACGCGGTAGAAAAATTACGCCAATCTATTGAAATATGGTATGCCACAAGTGAATATCTGCGACAAGAAATGAATCCTAATTTCAGGATGACTAACCCTTTAATCCAGTTCATATAATGTGTAACCTAAGGAAAAATCCTCAAGCACATGTTTTTGTTGAGGTATAATGTCTTATAATTAGGTGTTTTGTAGGATGGGGATGAATTGAAATTAAAAAAGATAGAAAACCTATCAGCGTTTTATGTGTAGTTGTCGTCATTTTTTTTTTGGGAATAAATGTTTCCTAGCTTAGTAGCAAAATATTTTCACATTTTTTTCCCCAAAGTCATTTTACTTCCTAATCAAACAAAGAAGATTATTTTACCTAGTTTTCTCGTGTTTTTATTTAGTGTTTTCCTTTATCTAAACAAATCTTTTAAAGAATATCATTTTGTGGAATGCACACGTTTAAAATTTCTAGTGAGTAATCATTTCAAAATTAAATTTTTACCATTGTATATGTCTATTAAAGTATATGAATTTCAAACCACCACATTTCTTTTGCAAAAATATATAAGATTTGCGTATATATTTTTTGCGAGAAAATTAAAAGTCGGAGAGTCTTCCTTCTACGGTTACTTCTTGATTTGGGTATGGTCAAATGATGGCAACTTGCAGTTGTGATTTTTCACCGTTGATCACTTGATCTACACAAACCAATGTGGGTGTGTATGTGTTTTTTTGTATATGAATGGTAGAAATGTACCCGATATATTTCACCCAAACATATACTAGTTCAATTAGGAGAGCTTAGCACACAAACATGCATTTGAAAAAAAATCTATCTAAATTATAACTTATATAGAGAGAGTTTGACAATGTAAGAAACATAAATTTACTAAATTAGTTAGAGATTCTAAGTAGAGTTTAGATGGAGAGCTTAGTTAGAGAGAAACTAACAAACAAACATAACATTTCAAAATGTTGAGCAAACAAGAGCCGTAGTAAGAAGTTTTATAATTGTTGAGAAAAGATTAAGTAAACGTCTATATACTAATACGAGTATATGAATACGAGTGTCCTTATGAAGCGCGTGGTACCAAAAATTTGTCAAAGCATCACTAAAGAAAAAAAATTATCCACGACGAGGGAGAGAATAGATCGATGCATTAAAAAGAGGCAAAAATGCTGAAATAGTACAATTGCAGAATATTACGGGCAATTTATACATCATAGTACGATATGACTATATGTCTCTATATCTACGACAAAGAAAAAAGAAAAACAATACGAAACGGAAGATAGACAGACAATCTTCACTTGAACAAGGGTAGAGTGATAAACCAACTGAAGATTCATCCAACATTTGCTGCTTAACCCTGTTGCCCCCAAAAACAGATTAAACAAATCACATAATCAAAACTTAGGTTCACAACATCTCCACACAAACACACACACACACACACACACACACACACACACACACACACACACATAAACGTGGATGATAGATCATACCTTGTTAGCAATGTTGTTGGAGAGCCAGTCCAGACCCTCGTATAGCCCTTCACCAGATGTTGCACATGTGCTCTGTATATACCTGCACCAAGACAAAAGCAGCGTTGAGCCTCGTGTGTGTGTGTGTGTGTGTGTATGTGTGTGAGAGAGAGAGAGAGAGACAGAGAGAGTACCAATGACGCTGACGAAGAGAGTGGAGACCAAGCTTGTCAGTTATCTCAGCAGCATTCATAGCATTCGGAAGATCTTGTTTGTTTGCAAATACAAGTAGCACGGCATCCCTCAGTTCATCCTAATAGGCATCTCAATCAAATCATTGTCAAAAAAGGAATATATATATATATATATATATATATATATATATATATATATATATATATATATATGGTTAAAGTTTTCAGGACAAACATTAGTCGAAAAAGTAAGTCAAGAAAGTGTTGGTTGGAAGAAGGGGGAAGTGACTGTGTAAAGTCTCTACCCAACCCAAGGAAAATCACATATTTGTTTTTACATAATTTTGAAATTTGTTACAAACAAAAAAAGAAGGCGGCAAAAATGGACTAAATTGTAATGATGGGATTAGATAATTGAGTACCTCATTGAGCATCCTATGGAGCTCATCCCTGGCCTCAACGACACGATCTCGATCATTACTATCAACTACAAAAATAAGCCCTTGCGTATTCTGAAAGTAATGCCTCCACAGTGGTCGGATCTACACCAATCGAAACCACAAAATATAAATAATTCGGAACTATACATTACAATCACCACAGCATGTCACAACAATATAAAAAATAAAAATGAAATATATAATCTCAATCCAAGAGGATGCTTAAAATTATGGCATGATAAATCAAACAGCTAATACAGCACTTTTTTTAAATTATCCCGTAAAGTTTTCCTCAATGTAAGTCAATTCAAACCAATCGAGCGAAATATACGAGTACAGAAGGACTTCAAATATAGTAAATTAAACTAGTTAAGGAACACTACATACCTTGTCTTGACCCCCGACATCCCAGACAGTGAAGCTTATGTTCTTGTATTCCACTGTCTCCACATTGAATCCTGGAGAGCAAATGGTAATAATTAACAGAATTAGTAAAGATTAAAATATAAGTGGTTTTACGAGGAGTAGATCGTAATCGCAGGCTAAAATCCATATCGAGAACATTTGAAGTAAAAATTTATCAGTGAATGATCAATCTCAAATTATCTGTTTCGTCTAAGTCACATACAACGAAACACTTGGCTCTTAATCTATTTGATTTTTATTGATAAAAAGAGAAAACGAAATGCTTAGGATTCATCAACGTTCTATGTTCGTCGTTACACTACGACTTTTAGATATTATAACAATTTAACTTCCAAAGGGATAAAAAGAGAATTTAAAAGCCAAATCCATTCTGTCAATATTTCTATCATATAAATGTGGAATTATGGAAGAAGGATAAACCGACGAGTTATAAAATGACAAGAGCGTGGATACACATTTCATCTTCTCTCTCTATCACACACACACACACACACACACACACACACACACACACACACACACAGACACACACATTAATATTCATACGGCATACCACAAGGTGCGAAACTATAAAGCATGAATTTTTAGAAAATTCAAGTAGAGAGAGAAGAACATACCAATAGTAGGAATAGTTGTGACTATTTCTCCGAGTTTGAGCTTGTACAGTATAGTGGTCTTACCAGCTGCATCGAGACCTACCATAAGAATCCGCATCTCCCTCTTTGCAAACAGTCGACTGAAAAGCTTAGTGAAAGATAACCCCATTTCTCTGTATTTTACACCCAGAAAAAAAAAATTTAATTAATTAAGACTCAGTCTTTCGAAAAGGTGCAGATATTCAATTCCAAATGCAAATAAAAAATTTCTACATTTCTCAAGCTATTATCAATCATACAACAATTGCATAAAGAACACAACATAAATTTAATCAAGTCCTGTTTTTTAAAAAGAAAACAGGATTAGTTAAAATTCACTTCAATCGAACGGTGAAATCGAAACGATCCAGAAAACACAATTTTCAATATCTAACGGAATTATTCAACAAGGTAATACAGAAGAAAGTTAATCAACAATGTAATCGCTGAACAACTGAAACCAGAAAAAAATGAATTCCAGTAATAAAAATAAATAAAACATAAATCAGATCAAAAGAAACCAAACAAAATTAGATCAACCAATTCGCCCAATCACTCGAGAAAACAAAAAAAAAAATCAATTGCGCACATGAACGTACATAAAACAGAGGGTACGTAATTAAATAATTCAGGAAATGATAATTTACACAAAGTCTGGAATCTGGATCTGCAATTCAATTCACGGAAGCAAAAAAAAAAACAAATAAATTGATGAATTGCGGTTAGAGAAGATGAAGATGGTAGAGAAAGCTTACGTTGATGGAGAGAGAGAGAGAGAGAGGAGTGATGAGGGGAAGAAGAGAGAGAGAGAATATTTGGGGAGACCAAATGTGGGTATTGTACGCTAAGATCTGAAGGACCAGAATTTGAATTTAGTTTCTGCAATTCTTTTCTTTCTGTTTACCTTTTTCTTTTAGGCAAGGGGGAATATGCTAATTCTCGAATGCAAATTCAATCCCAAATTTAGAATAATGGCCAATTCTCGGGAGAATTACATTTTTGGTCCTTCATGTTTGGGCCGATTCCACGTTTGGCCTCTTTTGTTCCAAAGTGAACAAAATTCATCTCCAAGGTTCATTTTTAAACACTTTTGGTCTCCGTTGTTACATGTTCGTTAGAAATTAACGGAAAACACTATTTTGAGGCGAAAATTAGAAAAATAAAATTTGTTGGAGCTGGAAAATAATTACAAATTTAAAGTAGACTACTTATAATTAAATTTTTAATAATATTAAGAATAATGAAATTTTTTTAGTTGATTATAAGTAGTATATTTTAAATTTCTAATTATTTTCGAGCCCTAAAAATATTTAAAATTTTAATTTCCGCCCCAAAATAGTGTATTCCTTTACTTGCTAACGGACATGTAACGTCGAGGACCAAAAGTGTTTAAAATTGAACATTGGAGATGAACGTTATTCACTTTGTAACAACGATGACCAAAAGTGGAATCGGCCTAAACATAAGGGACCAAAAGTGGAATTCTCCCACCAATAAACATCCCAAGGCACTAATTCTCTTTCAAATGAGGACATGTGGATTTTAGTAATGGGTCTATTAGATATAACCCCCTTAAACATTCAAATAATAGGGGTAGACCCAAATTTATATTTGCCATTTTGATAAGAGCCCAAACTTTTCCTAATCACATAATTACTCTCAATCAAATCCCACAAAACCCGTTACTTTACCTTTTGAAATAAAATCAAATCCCTTCCTATTTTCCCGTTAAATCACTATCATCCCAAACCCCACTATCGGATAAACTGCAAAACCTCCCAGAACAACTTCCCGGTACGGCCGATTGAAAGGGGAAGACGTCTGCACTGCCGTGAAACGACGATTTTCGTGCACTCCGAGCAAGCTGCCGTAGGTACGTCGTCGCCACTCGCTGAATCGCTATCATCCATCGATTTGTTGATATGTTTTGGCTAAATCGACTATCACGTTTGTGTATTTGCAAATCTGTCATAATCGCATATCGCATTCGAGCACTAAATCAGTGATATTGCAACAATTGATGGGCAGGACATCCACCAGAAGTGATATCGTCGTTGGCCGTCGCCGTCGCCGTCCTGCTCCAATCTAGGGTTACTCAAATATAGGATTACTCAAATCTAGGGTTTTGATAAATTTTCGGCCCATAGTTGATTAACGAGATGCATAGTCGAATTACATCTGTATTAATATACTATCCCATATCATTTAATAGACTATCCCACTGGTATAATTTTACTATGGATCTCGTTAATCGACTATGGGCCGAAGAATCATCAAAACCCTAGATTTGAGAAGTGACGGCGGCGGATTTGTGTTTTAAAATTAATAGACTATCTCATATCTTTTAATAGACTATCCCATGTATCTAATTCGACTATGGGTTTAGTTAATTGACTATTGGAAAAATAATAATATATATGGAAACTGAATAATATGTTTGTTTGAAATACTAATCAATTCGGGTAATTTTCCTTATTATATGAAAACGATTAGGGTAAATAATGATATATATGAAAAAATAATAATATATATGGAAACTGAATAATATGTTTGTTTGAAATACTAATCAATTAGGGTAATTTTCCTTATATCATGTAATAGACTATCTTACTCATCTAATTCGACTAAGGATCTCGTTAATCGACTATGGATCCCGTATGATTCAACCACATAGTATATTAATAATTTCAATATAGTACATTGATCTGCTATGATAGTATATTACGGTTATAGTAGTGATATGAATTGTGTTACAAACAATATACCACTGAAATGACAAGAACATTGAGAACAACACCAACGTAAAGTATTCCAACATAACCAATAAAATAGTACATTAATAATCTCATAATTTCAATCTAGGGTTTTGATAAAATACATAAAACAATACATCATAACACAATCAAACCAATATGTCGAGTTAAAAAACTCTAGTACATTAATAATCGCATAATAGTATAATAAAATGATAATGGTAGTATCATACGGTATTCATAATAGTATACTACTGTATTACAACGGTTTAAAACTTAACCAAAGTTACCGAGCCATTACATCGTAAACACCTCTTTATAGCAACCAACCCACCAAACCTCAACAAAATCCTTACGAAATTCGCCATCGAAAAAACCTAAAATCATGAAACAAAATTAAAAATGCAGAATACTAAAAAATGATTAAATAGACTGCAAATACATTTGAATGACAATACATTAATATCATCAAAAATAAACTTAAAATGCAAAATCCATACGCTAATTTAAAAAAGACTACGAACTATATTTTAATGTACTACCCAGCACACTTAAATCGGCTGTTATAAACAAATAAACCAACTATTGATCGGGATCAAAAACATGAACTCGACCACAACAGACAATTATTCCGATTATTGCATAAACCAACTACGAAACTCATATAAAACAACTCTGGTCCGATCTGCGTGAACCATCATCTTCTAACTCTGTCAATCCTCTTCCAAACAAACATCATCCGCCAAAAATAACGATGTATATATGACGACGTAATTTTGTTAAAAAACGTTCTACTTCATAGAATCAAGTATCAACACAACTCTTAAAATTTCTAACCACCGTAATCGACAATCCTAGACATTGAGCGAAAAATAAAAACGAATAACGCATTCATACCCGGTTAACAACGTCCAACATCGAACGCTCAAATTCGATCCTATTTCAACGACGGTGCAGAAATCTTCAAAGACGATAAAGAACCGCTGGAACGCTGAAGAGAACCTTCGAAAAATATTGTACACGATTTGATATAACATCCAATGATCTCACGTAATTTTATTCCGTGATTTTAGGCAACGTATCAGCAAATCTCAAATCACGTAGTAAAGGAAATAAATGCGGTTTAAAAATAAAACAGGGGTATTAAAGGAAAATTATATAATATATTTTGCCAAGTTGGCAAAATTGGATCTATATCAAAAAGGGGAAAAAAAATTGGATCTACCTCATTAGAAAATATGAACAAGGGGGTTATCCCTAATAAACCCTTTAGTAATTTGCTAAAAGTCATTTGTTCTTCATCCGTCTTCACCCCCTCAAATCAATTGAACACTGCGCTTGACTCCGTTAGATCCGTCCAACCTCGCTTCACTCCATCAAATTTGCTTCATCCCTACTCTCCGCCGTTGTCATCGTCGACGTTCTACACACAAGCACACACACATAGTCACACACCTATATAGACACATATGCAACCACACACGTACACACATACAATTTTGGTTACTCCCCTTCTCCTTCGCTGTAACCATGGCCGGCTCTAGTGCATAGGCAACATAGGCTTATGCCTAGGGCCCACAAACTATCTGTAATATTTATAGAGCCCCCTAAATTATGTGTATTATAAATTAGGGCTCCCAAATTTGAAATATTTTTTTTATATTTTCATAAAAATAAACAAAAATATTTATATGAAAGCCAAATTGTAGAAAATATAACATAAGATCTAATAATTTTAATATTTCCACTTAAAATAATAAGAAAATACCAAAAAAATATTTAATTTTAAATTAAAAAAAATAATATAAGGGCCCCAAAAAAATTATTTGCTTAGGGCATCTGTAGTGCCACTCCCAATTTAATATTTTTGTCAGAATTTTAGAATATTGGGAGTAATTGCTGATTTTAACTCCTCTAGTGCTTTTCTCCAGCCTCCCTAAATGTGCCATGTGGCAAGGGACTCCCAATTAAAGTGCCCACAGTTAATCCATGGTTGGGGAGTGTATGTGGAGCCCTTTTGATTATTTTAATGTATTTTTGGAATGTGTGCCAACCAAATCTGCTTTAATTATTTATTTTTTCTTTTTCTTTTTTTCCATTATGATAAGTAATAATTAATTCTAATAATTCTTTAATTATTTTATAATTTTTAGAAATTACATATTTAAATTTCATTGATTTTAATATTAATAGTAAAATAAATATTATATTTAAATTCATTAATATGGTAAAAAAAACGTATATTTTAATTTTAATAATTCAATTTCATTATAGTAATACAAGAAATATTTATTTTATAATTAAATTTAAATTTTGTAAATTCGTTAATTTTAATTTATTTGATTGTTCCACACATGTCTCTCATATTCATAACTTTTATTATAAGAAATTCCAAAATAAATTTTCATGAAATTTAATTTTATTAAATTCGATCACAATATAAAATATAATACGAACAATGTGAAAATAAAAGAACAATAAATCACAACTATAATTAGAAATACACATAAACAATAAATATTTAGACATCTTCTTCTCCGTAGATATTCCACAAATGGTTCATTAAATCAGATCTCAAATCTTCATTGGTTCGTCGATTGCGGATCCGACTAAGACGTGCTGAGATATAGGCTGCCAAAATCGATGGATCTCGTTCATATTGAAGGGGGCGGAAATTCTCTTCTGGAAGTGGTGCCCATGGTTCGAGGTCAGTTCCACGTTCATCTTCTATAATCATATTATGGAGTATAATGCATGTTTTCATTATATTACATATATCCTCTTTTGACCAATATCGAACGGGTCCTTGCGTTATACCCCATTTAATTTGTAGAGCACCAAATGCACGCTCCACGTCTTTTCTAACTGATTCTTGTTTTGCCGCAAATAATTTTTCTTTCGCAGTGGTGGGATGAGCAATGGTTTGAATAAGAGTTGCATATTTGGGGTAAATACCATCAGTTAAGTAATAACCCATCGTATATGAACGACCGTTCACCGTATAATTAACTGGAGGCATTCTACCATGTATGATATTATCAAACAGTGGAGAATGATCCAAGACATTAATATCATTATTTCCACCCGACATGCCAAAAAAAGAATGCCAGATCCATGTATCATGCGATGCAACTGCTTCTAAAATTAAAGTTGGTTTGTGGTGGTGACCCCTGTGTGTGCCGTGCCAATTTTTCCATTGCCAGTGCATACAATCTAAAGATCCAAGCATACCTGGAAAACCTCGGGATTCACCTTCTTGTAGGAGACGATGGATATCATGTGCATTTGGTGACCGCAAGTACTGTTCTTCATAAAGTTCGATTATCGATGAACAAAACTCTCTTAAAGTTTCATTAGCAGTGGCCTCCCCTATCTTCAAATATTCATCACAGTAATCAGCGGATGCTCCATAAGCAAGAATCCGAAGTGCAGCAGTTATCTTTTGAATAGATGAGAAGCCAAGACGACCACGTCCATCTCTCTTTCGGATGAAGTATCTGTTATGCTTTTCAATATCGTTCTGAATATGAAGAAACAACTCCCTGCGCATCCTAAAACGCCTGCGAAAATAAGATGATGGAAAAGTACAATTTTCAGCAAAATAATCTTTCCATAATAAGTTATGACTCTCTTCACGATCACGATATATATATTGTCGCTGATGCGGTTGTTCCTCAGATGCTAAAATTAACCCAGGGATAAAATTAATCATTTCTTGAGATTCTTTCTCCATACGAAGAGAAAGAAGTTCTTCCTCTTCTGAAGATGAGGATGAAGATGAAGAACTAGATGATTTAATGTGAGAAAATTCATTTGAATGAAACCATCCAGATGAAGAAGCCATATCATGGGATAAAATTTATTGTAGATATACAATTCTATCGGAAGAAAATATTTATAGAAGCTGGAAAATCAAGATAATTGAAGTTAAGAAAATCATTATAATAATTGAAGTTGAGAAACCAATAAGATAATTGAATTTAAAAAGATAAAATAATAAAGTTGAGATACTCGAGAAAATAATTGAGGTTCAGAAACCAATGAGATAATTAGAGTTGGGAAAAAAAGTAAAAAATAATTGACAAAATCTCTGAAATTGAGATAATCGAGAAAATAATGCAGTTATAGACAGTCTGTAAAGTTGAGAAAAAATAATTGAGGTCTTCTGACATATCTACAACACTAAAATTGAGAAAATCGAGAAATCTATCCACAAAATCTATCCACTTAAAATCTATCCATATATTTATCCACTAAAAATCTATCAACAAAACATGTCCACAAAATATCTATCTACAATATCTACTGACATGTTAAAACCTATCTACAAAATTTTATAAATACTAGTTGTACATGATGTTATCATTCATCCCTCCTGTTTACTTATAACAATAAAGTCTTTCAATTTACTATGAATCCACGTTTTCCCTTCAATTATGGAATCAATCCTGAGTATAGCTCTCAACCACCACCACAAAACGAGTCTCAAACATTTCCTCAACAATTTTCATACAATCCTTACAATTTCAATACACAATCACAACCATTTTCACAATTTTCCTATAATCCTTTCGTCTATGCGGGGCCATCTCAAATACCAAATCAAGAGCAATCACAAAGTACAAGCAAATCAGGTAAAAAGACCAAGGCTCTGGGGCGAAATAAAAACTGGAATATGGAAGAAGATGAAGCATTGTGCAAGGCCTGGTTACGTGTTTCAGAAGATGCAATAGTTGGTACTGACCAACAAAGAGGTAGGTTGTGGGAGAGAATTAGAGTTGAATTTATATCTATTTTAGAATATGATCCAGGTAGAAATGCGTCAGGGCTAGCGCACCGATGGAAAATCATTCAACATTGTGTAAGCAAATTTTCTGGGTATGTTCGTACGATTGAGAGAGCTCAACGTAGTGGAAACAATGCAGAAGATAATGTAAGTAAATAAAATTCATATATGTATTTATATATAATTTTCGTTCAACCATTAATATATTATGATTTTTGTTATAGATGATTGCATCAAAACAACTATACAATGACAAAGAAGAGCATCAATTCAAATATGACTCTTGTTGGATGATTTTGAAAGACACTTCCAAATGGTATAATTATACCATTGAGCAGAAGGGAAAACAGAAAAAAACTTCCCAAAAAAAAAGGGTTGAAATTGATTTGGATGATGATGAAATTGAAGATTCATCAAATACACAACCTCCATCATCTGATCAATCAGCCCCAGCTACGACTCCAACTTCAACCGGCCATGAAATTGATGACGGGGTATCTAATGATGGCGCACATGGACTACCACGTCATCATGGTCGCAAAACTGCAAAAAATGCTAGAAGAAAGAAAAATCTCGATTCCATCGATTTATTTGTAGAGGAGTTTTCTAATATGAGAAAAGAACAATCAAGTCGCTTTGAAGAGGAGGGCATTAGGAGAAATGCAATCGAACAACAGAAATTACAAGCTAAAATAGAAACAAAGAGAATGGAAATTGCAGCTAAACAAGAACATCAACAAAAACAACGCGAGCAAGAAATAATGTTGATGGATCCTCAATCGGCACCTACAGAGGAAGGTAAAGCTTGGATTATTGAACAACAAATAGAGATCTTAAGCCGTATTAGAAAAAATAAAAACTAATTTTATAATGTCTTTTTCTTTAATCTATTTATGTCTAGAGTTGGAGGAATGTTCTAACAAGCTTGTTCAATTTACTGCAATCTATTATGTATTTTTGTTAATTTTATTTCATTTATGTTTGTTGAATGTTTTGTATTATTTTATCAATATAAATATGGATACAAACAAAATAAAATAATACATATTACAACGTAATAAAAATGGTGACTAATATTTAATTAATGTAATCTAATACGAAATTAATTTAATTAAATACAAAGAATTAAATTTAATTACATTATTATATTTACTCCCTTAATATTTTATTATTATTTAAGATATTTGGACAAATTTTTAGGGAGTTTTAAATGTACCACTAGAGAACCTTTTTTTTAGGGAGTGTTAAATGTGGGTCCTACTTTTAGGGAGATAGTAAATTGTGTAGGTGGCACGTGGACCCCACTATTTGGGGAGTGTTTTATTGGGGATCCACTACAGATGCCCTTAGGGACCTATATGGGCTTGATTTGGCCCTTGTAACCCGCAAGGGTGGCCTAGCGGTTGGAAGCAAGGGAGCTTGGGTCAATCGACCCAAGTTCGAATCCCCTTGCCAACAATCGCTAGGTCGAGCTTGTCACACATGGTTAGCCTAGTGTGGTTTAAATCTCTCGTATGGTTTGCAAGCTATTATACGAGAGTGTAGGTTTACCCAGTGCACCTATATGGTTGGCTGCGGGTTCCTGCATTATCAAAAAAAAAAAAAAAAAAAAAAAAAAAAACCTAATAATTATGGAAACCAAAAAAGAAAAATATGAAGAATTGTTTTGTGATGGCAGATGATAATGTTGTTGGAATTTTCATGATTTCCAATAATTAATATTGAGTAATATTAATTTAATTATGTAAAGATTAATTTCATTTATTTACTTGATCAAAATCATGAAGAAAAGTGAATGAAAATTGTCTTGATCAAATGGTTAAAGTTCAAAAGATGTGCGCTCGGTGTGATCGAGTGATAGGACTAGTTTGGGTTTAGATGTCAACAAATATTATTTTTGGGGACATTTAGTAGTTAGTTAAATTATTTGAACCAAAATCCAAATAATAAAATACTTGGCCCAAACCAAATTAATTAATTGGCGATTTGTTCGACCCTACACCCGGTGAAAAACACCGGGTGGGTCTTCGAAGGAACCTTAATTGGCCTATGACCAATTAATTTTCCTACGTTTTTTTGAACTCGGTAAAAAGAACAGACACAACCTTCTGCTTCTTCTCCAACCATTGCATCCCTCTGTGAATGGATCTCTACAACCTATAAATAAAGGCAGAATCTGGCCAATTCTGTACTGAATTTAATCGGCAATTGAGAGATAGTTCTTCATATTTTTCTTTTTCTTCGTCAAAGTTCCGTTCGTTGTTCAAGTTCGCCGTGGGTCGAATATTCGTGCAAATATTCGACAACCGATCGTTGTACCTTGGGAGACTACCGGGAAGAGACTGTGCACCGTTGACAGCCCGGAAATATTGTCTTAAGGGAATTGCTTTGGCAAGCCTCGATCGTTCTTTGTGTTTTTCACAATTCCGTTTTTCGACAAACAAGTAAGTATTTTTCGTTTACGCAGATTGTTAAATATATACCAACAATCTTAAGACAATAAATTTATATTTAATTTAATAACCTGCGTAGAAAAATTATTTGGTTATGCCATGAAGAGTTTGGGTTTCTGTGTTGCAATACGCAACTGTAATAACTTGAAATCATAATTTCTATTGAAGTTAGTTTAATGGTTTTATATACTATATGCAATTAAAAAAAAAAAATTGCGTTTTTACTTTTCTGTGATTATTTTTTAATTAAATTATGTAATGAGTAATTGTATTTTGATGGTTCATCGTAAACTGTGTAGATGAATTCTATGTGTGAACTATTATTTAGAATATTGATGCTTACATATTTCCATCAGATCTTCTGCATGGATAACAAAAATCATTAAATAAATGTTTTGTTTGGAAACATGTGTAATGTTACTACTGTTCACATCAATTTTTTCTGAATAATGTCTTCAAGATTATGTGACAAATTATTTTGGTTTGCAAGTTTAAATTTTTTTTTATATAAATCTGAAAATTGTGTAGATGGCTTCAATTAATGATGCCGCTTCTAAGGTTGTCGGCGCAGCCGAAAAACCAAACAAGTTCACGGGAATGGACTTTGCTGCTTGGAAGAACAAAATGTTCTTCTACCTTACTACCATGAATTTGGCGAAATTTCTCAATGAGGAGGCACCTAAGGCGAAGGAAGGAGAAACTCCCGAAAATAACAAGGAAATCTTCCTAGCCATTGATGCGTGGAGTCACTCTGATTTCCTATGCCGTAACTACATCTTGAATTGCTTGGACGAACCATTGTACAAAGTTTATAGTCCTATAAAGACTGCTAAACTTTTGTGGGATAGTTTGTCCGAGAAATACAAGTCTAAAGATGCGGGTTATAGGAAATTCATAGTAGACAAATTCCAATTTTATCGAATGGTCGATAGCAAAACTGTGAGTGAGCAAGTGAATGAACTCCAACTCATGATATTCTCGCCGAGGGTCATGTGGTGAGTGAATCCTATCAAGTGGCTTCCATAATTGGAAAGCTTCCACCGAGTTGGACGGAGTTCAAACACTACCTAAGGCACAAGAAATCGGTTGCCAAATGGACGATGGAGGAACTCATAGCAAGGCTCAAGACTGAGGAGGATAATAAAATTACCGACAAGGGTGGTCAATTCGTGGGTAAGGCACATGTGGTGGAGAGCTCGAAGCAGAGCAACAAGCGAAAGGGTCTTACATTTAACAAAGGACCAAATTACAAGAAGAAGAGGTTCACCGGAGCGTGCTTTGTTTGTGGAAAGAATGGACACCTTGCGAAGGATTGCCGCCACCGCAAAGAAAACAATAAAAATGAAGCAAATGTCACCGTGGACTTAGCTACTTCCGAGAACGACAACATGCACCTTTCGGCAGTCGTAATAGAGGCCTACCTATTGAGCGATACTCGAGGATGGTGGGTAGACACCGGGGCAACTCGTCACATTTGCTATGACAAGAGCATGTTATCCTCCTATAAAAAGTTGGAACAAGAACAAAATCTCTTCATGGGAAATGATGCTTATTCGGTGGTTGAAGGACAAGGACAAGTGATCCTAAAATTCACTTCCGGAAAGGAAGTTACCTTGAACGATGTGCTACACGTTCCGGATATTAGGAAGAACTTAATCAGTGGTTCTGTCCTAACCAAGAAAGGTTTCAAGTTGGCTTTTGAGTCGGAAAAATTTGTGCTAATCAAAGGAGGGTTCTACGTCGGAAAAGGGTACCTATGTGACGGTCTCTTTAAGGCGAACGTAGCCGTTATCGGCAATAACTAAGCTACTACATTTATATTAATAATTTTTAGTTTATATGGTTTATTTAAGAGTTGTAAGAACTTATTATGTTGGGAAATATCGTGTGTAAAACAAGGTTTTATTATACAAGTTTTTGACTAGTATATTTAAAAAAAAAAAAAAAAAAAAAATTGCCCTATGTTTAATAAGTGTGTATAAAATTTAAAATTATTAAATCATATAAATATTTTATTCTTTCTTTTGAAACAATATTGTTTCAATCCAATGACTTGGTTAAATTTGGGCATAATTAATATTTATTTATACTTCAAATAAGCTCTCGTGAGGGGTGCTTGATTTCTCTGTTTTCAAAACTTTTGTAAGTTAGTTCTTGATTTAAACGGTGCAATATGATTCTGTCCAATCATATTGTGAGTATTTTCTCAATAAAAATTAAAGTTCTTAAAATTTTGAGTTTAATAAAAAGGTAGCAAATGCGTATTTGTGAAATACAAAATAAGAAGATAACTTCTTAAATCCGATAGAGCGGATAATATGAGTAATTTATTTGTGTGCATGGAAAAATCATTGCACCCTATTCACATCAAATGGGGTAGTTAAATGAAAAATCGTGATTTAAAGACACGATTAAACTTGAGTTTACCGAACAACTTGTGGGGGAAACTCCTTGTGTGTCTAATGACATATTAAATAGAGTTTCACACAAGATGAACATTCCTTATGAGTTATGGAAATATATATAATTGAACTATAAATATCTCAAAATGTGGGGGTATTTGACTACAAGTTACATATGTTTGTATATCCATTGAGGGATATAGTGAGGCAATATAATTGAATATAATCAATTAATAATTGCTCTTATACTTTAATAAGTCTCGACATATTCGTCGTAAACTTATAATGTGAGACATTTACTCTCGAATGAAATAATTGATTTTGTGAAATCCATAGATAACCGAGCGGATCCATTTAATAAGGTTTATCTAGCGAGAGAGTTAAATGTGCGTCGAGGGGAATAAGTTTAAAGCCTAAATAACTAAGTTACCTTATACGGAAACCTAACTTGGCGACTGGAGATCCCACGGACCAAGTTCAATAGGACAACCAGTTCTGTGTAACTTAAATGAATGGAGCACTTAGGAGTTTTAACTCCATCTTATTCCTATGATGCAATAAGTGCAACCTACGACGTTAAAAAAAGGTTAAGCTATTGCTTTTAATGACGTCTATATCTTGTAAATTACAAGTGGGGTATAGTAGGATACTCTTTATAGATGCGGTCACCTATGTTAGTGTGAGCTGGGTCGGCTCGTTGAGAATTCTTAAAGGCTGGAATTCTCTAAAGCACTCGCAGAACCCGAGGATGTTCAGGGCCAAAACGAACACAACCGAGAATTTGAACAAGTTCGTTTAGTATGGTGTTAAGTTTATTGTCTTGGTTTACACAAACAGCCGACGGTTCAAGATGAAATAATTCACCGATTGGCTAAGTAAATCCGATAAGCTTTAACTAGGGAAGGTTCAAGATGAAACATTTCACCTATCCCGATGCTGTACTATTCACTAAGGAATTTTGACAAATAGATCTTATGCGATAAGATTGGAAGAACAATTTTATTCATGTGGGGGATTGTTGGAATTTTCATGATTTCCAATAATTAATATTGAGTAATATTAATTTAATTATGTAAAGATTAATTTCATTTATTTACTTGATCAAAATCATGAAGAAAAGTGAATGAAAATTGTCTTGATCAAATGGTTAAAGTTCAAAAGATGTGCGCTCGGTGTGATCGAGTGATAGGACTAGTTTGGGTTTAGATGTCAACAAATATTATTTTTGGGGACATTTAGTAGTTAGTTAAATTATTTGAACCAAAATCCAAATAATAAAATACTTGGCCCAAACCAAATTAATTAATTGGCCCATGACCAATTAATTTTCCTACGTTTTTTTGAACTCGGTAAAAAGAACAGACACAACCTTCTGCTTCTTCTCCAACCATTGCATCCCTCTGTGAATGGATCTCTACAATCTATAAATAAAGGCAGAATCTGGCCAATTCTGTACTGAATTTAATCGGCAATTGAGAGATAGTTCTTCATATTTTTCTTTTTCTTCGTCAAAGTTCCGTTCGTTGTTCAAGTTCGCCGTGGGTCGAATATTCGTGCAAATATTCGACAACCGATCGTTGTACCTTGGGAGACTACCGGGAAGAGACTGTGCACCGTTGACAGCCCGGAAATATTGTCTTAAGGGAATTGCTTTGGCAAGCCTCGATCGTTCTTTGTGTTTTTCACAATTCCGTTTTTCGACAAACAAGTAAGTATTTTTCGTTTACGCAGATTGTTAAATATATACCAACAAATGTTGGTGGTGATGTATGCACCATAGATCTAACTTTTTTTCCTATAATTTATTTTAACTAAGCTGTGCAACTAAGTTGTGCGAATAAGTTTTCTAAGATGTCTAACTTCATAGTAAAATAATATGAAATACGAGTTTTTTTCTAAAATTTTGCTCATTAATTTAACTAAACTCTGTAAATAAGTTTTATAAGTTGATTGTGTAAGTTGTGTATGCGGTGTGAGATGTATCCATTCTTGTGTTAATTTGTTGTTCAGTTTATATTTAACTAAGTTGTGGTTTATTAAAATAACTAAGCTGTGCAAATCAGCACGTCGTCGTTACTGTTAGTTTTCCTAAACAATTTCATTAAAGAGAATACAGACCTAGCGTCATATCCAGAGCACAAGAACTTTTAGCAAAGTGACAAAATTTGCATATCCTTATAGATATGTAAGACATTGTACCAACTTACAAATTTAGCAAAATGACAAAATTCTAAGACATTGTACAAACTTACCACCTCCGGAACCAGTTGAGCTATACACATGCGGATTGTATTTTATATTTTCAAAATTAGTTTGAAGGGTTTAAGAAATAAAGAAATAAAAAAATTGCCATTTGCACCTTGAGGAAAAACAAAACTACTAAAATATAAAATTGGCCTCATTAACCTTTAAATATGAATTTGAGTGTAAAGTGAACGATCTATCTATAATTTTATAAGAATCAGAGTGCTTCAAGGATCAAATCTAAGGGTGCAAAATGAATACATTTCCTGGTTGCAATTTATAATCGTTAAAATCGATAATTTATAATAATAATAATCTAAACTAAAGATTTCGAATTCATAATCAAATTTTCATAGATAAGATAAATTTATTACAAATAATTATCTTATAAACTATTGGTAAGCCAAAATTTTAAATTTTAATTAGAAAAGAAATGAAATAAAATAAAGTTTATTCTTTTAATTTCTCCTTCCTTAGACATTTATGAGAGAGATTCCAAGTCATAAATGGGGGTTGCCTTTTTTTCTGCTGCTTCTTCTTCAATGTGATAAATAGAGCTCATCTCTCTATTCTTACCCCATAGAACTCCATACAGTCCCAATACAATTAATACTGATCCTGCAACTCTGCATAATCAAATTAATATAATTAATAATCTAGTGTGACATAGTAATTAATTATATTAGTTTTGGAAATGTGGAACTATTTTTAAAATGAAGAATTAACTCTTAAGCTCTAATTATTTACTCCTGCCGTTTTCTTTTAATTGTAGTTTTTTACTTTGCACAAGGATTGAGAATCTCGTTCAATGTGGCTTTATTTTAGGAAAAAGTATGTTTTCAAGACTAAAATGTCCTTGTTCATTAATTAATAAGGGTATAACTGAAAATTATATAATTAATGCCGTATTGAAATTCTAAACTGTCATATAATATGGAACATATGAAGTAGAACTAAATATACGAATGAAGAATCAATCTTGAAAAAATAAATAAATAGAGAAATCGACTTACGTTCCAACGAAGAGCTTTTCCTCGAGCAAAGCCCAGCTGAGAATCGCCACGATAACGAGCAACAAAGGGCTGAACACCGAAACATAAAGAGGGCCTTTCCTCTCTATACACCATGACATGAGGCAAAATGCTAGTGCAGAACACACTATTCCCTATTACAAATTCAACCCAAAATATCACTATTAAGATATAGCAATATATTATTATTTTTTTTAAATTTAGGATAAATTACAACCAACCCCCTGAGGTATGGTCAAGTTACGAAAATCCCCCTCTTGTTTGGATAATTACAACCACCCCCTCAACTCCTCAAATTTAGTGGAATCTTCGAGATTATATGGAATATTATCACTTTTGTACCCGTTTTATCCTATTCGAACTCTACATTTTGAAGCAAGATGATCATAATATGTGTTTTTTGACTTGTATGTATCAGATTGTGGTGCATGCATCAAAAACTGTATTTTTACACAAAACGAGTACAAACTAGAGCACATTCCGCGAAATCTAGATGATTATGTTGAATTTGACACCATAAAGGTGGAGGTGTAAGAAAAAATCATAGTTGAGAGGTCGATGTAATTATCCAAACAAGAGGGTTTTTTTGTAAATTGACCATATCTCAGGGGGGATGTTTGTAATTTACCCTAAAATTTATTTTGTTTAAAAGATGAAAACATTGGAAATTAAGAAGAAAAGAAATATACCGAATACACGCTTGAAATAATCCTTATGTTGGAAGTGAGTGACCATGCCGATAAGTTGTGGTCGAAGAAGAAGGCGACGACCACACACTGGAAAGTTGCCATTAGACACATCAATGCTGAACTCGAGTATGGAGCCCCGTACTTCTGGCTTACTCTTGTCTTCAAAAATAATTATAAAAAAAAAAAATATGATGCCAGTTAGTTAATTAATATAAAGTCACAGATAATATGAAACAAAAATATCTACAAAAAATAACAGTTATTATGGAACAGAGGAAATAATATTTATTCCGAAATGAATTTTAGAGAGAGAGAGAGAGAGTATTGAGGGCTTACTTGGATGATTAACCAAATAGCCCAAGAAATGGCACTAACAATGAGAAGAATTGGACCCAAAATGAAATTGACATGATTAATTGAAGACTTAGTTCCAGTTTGCTCAGCATATTTCCAATGAATACTTGATTTTCCTATATCCACTATTGATCCATGGTAAAATGACAATAATAGGGCTCCCCCTACACATATTATTGTCCCCATCACTTTTGCTTGCCCTGCCTTGCTCTTCACTCCCACTTTTTCTAGCCTGTATTTTTGTTTACCATTATTTTATAAACACGCTTTTATATATATATTAAAATAAGCAAAAACACGTTTTTACTTAATTAATTAGTTACCCGAAAGGAACAGCCATGATAAATGTGACTGCAGGGTTGATATTGGTTAGTGCACATGCAATTGTTGGAGTTGAATTCTTTAATCCCACGAAATATGTGATTTGATTCACTGTTACCCTGCGTATTTAAATTCAAAATTAAATTTAAATTAAAAAAAAAAAAAAAAACCAATTTAAATAAAAAGAATAATATGAAGAAAAATAAAATCATTGTAACTTACCCAAATATGGAACATAAGAAAATTTGGAAAAATATTGATGCTGTCATTTTAGGCCGTGTTTTCCTGTAATTTGAAAATCAAAGTTTAATTAATTAGATGAGAACAAAATAAATCCCATTAAATACTAGAATAAATAAATAAATAAATAAATAATATACGTATAGGATCGGCAATTCAAACAACCATTTATTTTATTTTTATTTTGATATTTTATATATCTAGTATGCTATTGCTATTTTTTAGTTTTGGTGGTGTAAACTGTAAACAACTAATTCCGTAAACGATGTACATATATTAACATTATTTATGATATAGTTTTGGTGGCATCCGATTCTCCTATTAAAACTGGTCATTCGGTCTAAATTTGCACTTTTTATGATATTAAAAAACCGCCAACTTGGCATTGTTTATTTAAAATTATTTTATATTCAAAATATTCTTATAAGCACGCCTAAGTTCTTATTGCCGATCGTACAAATGATGCACGAGCAATGTTTTTAGAACCGATCTTGAAATTATATAGCCAATTGGGTCATAGTTGGATCGGTTCTGACAGTTTTTATTTATATTTTTCTAATTTTTACATTAAAAAAAAATTTGTGCACAAGTATGCAAAACTAAAAAAAAAAAAATGGGGAAATTAGAGCTTAGTTTTTTATTTTTTTTGGAATAAAGGCAAAAAATGAGTAAATTAAAGACGACAAAATATAAAACACATGTTCCATGAGAAACTGGATGAAACGCCACGTGTGGCTCATGCATAAAAACATACCAAAACGTGAAGAAACCCTTCATGCTTTGTGACACAGGCACACACATATACGTGTGTGTGTGTTGTGTAGCGTAGGAGTTTGTTTATGTTAATAACTTAATTTAACCATATTTGAGATTATTTTTTAAATATTTAAAAACAAATTACTAGATATATAGGCATATTAATTTCTATGAAAAATTAATCAAAATGGAGAAACATATTAAATGCATGATGATGAATTGAAGTTAATTAGAAAAGCTGTTCGATCAGTTTATAACTTGTAAATTAAATTAACCATGTATCATTGACATGCAGTAAAACCTCGATAAATTAATAATTTCGCTGAGAGAATAATTTTTTCTGGTCCCGATTTGGTAAAAGCGTACTAAAATTTTTAGTTCAACAATATTCACTGAAATTAGTAGAATTTTGCTAGTTCCGAGTCCCGACTATATTAATTTATAGAGGTTTAATTCTGATAATGTAAAAAAATCCAAGATTTTATGGTAACAACATATGTGTGAAAATTAGTAACAACAAAAAAGATGTTAGAATTTACCTCTCCATGAAATAAGCAAAAGGAGCAATGGCGATGGTGGCGAAAACTTGGCGGTACGCGACATGGACGTAAGGGTTCATACCGGAATCCATCGCTACTTTAGATATAATGTTCATCCCCGCGTACCCTAACTGCACGATAACCATTGTCAAGAACGGAAACAAATCTCCCTCCATTTTTTTTTATTTATTTCTTCTTAATTTTCTCCAAATTGATTGATAATTTACTATCAACAAGAAAATTAAGAAGAAATAAAATGGAGATATAGATATAAAGATAGATGAAGTGGGACACTATATATATATATATGTAGAAGAGGAGTAGAAAAAAAATGAGTAAGAGGCTATATATATATATATATATATAAAAGGTAAAGAAGAAGAATGGGGTAAAATCCAAAAAAAAAAGGCAGAGGGGCAGGGGTTTGTTTTGTTTGTGCATGGATTTCACGCATCTCAGCTATTGTTGCTATAAAGCTACTTTCAGTTAAACAGCTTATTGTTTTGCCAGCTTTTTTGCCTCTTGCCTTTGCATGCCAAACAGCATATATTTTACATACTTGTAGTAACCAATTTGAATTCTTCTGTTTTTAATTCGGTGCAAGAAAATCCTTTTTTTTTTTTTTTTTTTTTTTTTTTCTCTCACAAAAATGTTTTTGTACTATTATAATCAACGTGGGTCCCCACAACCCCACAAAAACAGCTTTTATTATTATTATTATTATTATTATTATTATTATTATTATTATTATTATTATTATTATTATTATTATTATTATTATTATTATTATTATTATTATTATTATTATTATTATTATTATTATTATTATTATTATAAATTACACTTACACTTCTGAGGTATGCTATAATAACTTTAAGGTCCATGTAATATAGGTAATCACAATCCCCCTGAAACATAGTTAGAAAGTTAAGGGATAATGCATTGGATAAGTTATTCCGTTGAAATTCGAACGGACTATTAGTTTCAGGCAGTGGTAGAGACAACGTAGAGCTAGAGGGTGACATGGTTCTCCTAACGTTTCTTAAATCTTATATAAGATTTATAAATTTTCGTCTATGCATGGTAGCATTAACGCCCCTGCGGAAAACAAATAAAGTGCACATTGGTTCCCAACCGGTAATTGTTTCACGAGTGTACTTGTAATTACCAATACTACAAGGGCCTTAAAGTTATTTTAGCAAATATTCATGCGTGTAGTGTGTAATTTACCCTTATTAATTATAGTTAGTTCATGTGAAGTAAAATTTGCTTTAGAATTCATGCATTGAATATTTATTTATGTATTAATTTTTTCGGGTTTAATTTCTCATGTATATCTCGAAGAGTTATTGACTATGCATATAGAAAACTAGTTACACTTTTGTAATTTATAACTTGAAATTAGAAAAAAAAAAAAAAGAATTATGAAAATTTCACTATTTATTAGTATTTAATAAGAAGTCATTAGACTAATTAAACTTGTGAGAGAAGATCCCATTCCCAGTTTTTAAGCCCTAATTAATTAAGAGCCTAACTGGATTCCAGGTTGGGTTGGCTCGTTTATCTCATTTTTGTTCTCACCTGATTCAGGTGAATTTACATAACAGCAACATAATACGTTGCGTGTTTTGAGGGGTCTTAATTTAATTTTGATAAGTTATTATTATTACTACATCAAAAGAAAGTGTGCATGTCAAAGAAAAACATAAACAACACGTAACCATATATAGGACATGTGTCGAAGATTGCTGAGTTTGGTGTCAAAAATATATATAGTTCACAATTTCCTTGAATCTTGTTCCTACATGCTTCTGTCCTATGCAGGGGCAGACCCAAGGACTTTTAATTGGGGGCCAAATTATAGGGCGAATAAAAAGAAGGAAAAAAATATTTCTCAGGGGCTAAAAGTGTACAAATTTTAAATTTTGGGGGGGGAGGAGGGGGAAAGTGGGGAGCAATGATCGCCGGAAAAGGGATCGGAACGGCTGTTCCGGAACGGGAATGGTGCCCTCCGTTCCGGAGTCCGTAATCAGAACGGTGTTTTCACCGTGACTCATCAGAACGCCGCGAAATCGATGGGATGGGCGAGATGGAGCCACGGAACGGCCCCGACGCAGCCGGAACGGCACCGGAACAGTCGGAACGGCACCGGAAGAGAAAAAAAGAATTTGAAAAAAAAAAAATTGACTAAATAAAGTAAGGAAAAAAAAGACTTAAAGATAAAAAAAAATAATATGATGGTGGTGGCCACGTTAGAGAATGGAGATTCCCCTGAATCACAGGTCTTTGGCCTCACTCTTCAATTATATCTTACACAATTTCAGCTCGGTATTCTACTTGATATTAATATTGCTTGTATTTTCATAATATTATTTTTGAAATTGTAATAATATTTTGCATATTATTAAATTGTAATATTGTTATTAAAAACATATTTGAAATATATTGTATTTTTTTAACAATTTAATTAAAATGTGCTCGTTCCAGCCGCGACGTTGCAACGGAACTGGAACGGCAGTGTCCGCGACAATGCACTGTTCCGTTCCGGCGAACCATGGCGGGGTGGGAGTCTATAAATTAATAAATAAATATCAAAATGCAATTAAAAAATAATAATAGAATTTAGATGATTTTTTTTTTTTGCAGGGGCGGGAGCCCCCCAGGGCCAACGTAGTTCCCCCCTGGTCGTAGGTTCATCAGGAAAACATAAACAACACGTAGCATTCCATGAAATCCCCTCAATAGTTAATGGTGTAAATTGTTAACGGAAGAGGGGATTTTATGCATGATAAAATAAAACACAAAGGAATTCTATGCAATAAAAATAAGATAAAGAAGTTTGATGCAAATTTTCCTCAGTAGAGAGGAGTTTTATGCAGTTTACCCAGGTTGTCACATAATACAATTATATTGTTCCGATTTCATTGCAGCGTCCTTTAAGTTTCACGGCCAATATTAATTGTTGAAATGCTAAATTTTAAAATTAATTGTTTATGTTAGTATTTGATAGGCGCGCGTTAATTTTACCGATGTGTAAGCATCAAATGTACAATATCGTGTTTTATAGAACAATATAATAGATTCCAAACATCGATCGTCCTCAGTGACTAATTAACTCGAATATTATCTACCCGACCGAAAAGGGTGTAATTTGTTGGTCTTAAAGTAAAAGGCATAGATTAGATCAATTTTGCAATAGCACAAAAATAATATGCAAGTTTATGTTGTGAAGAGTTCTAGAGTCGATTTCTCAATGTTTAATTTCCCATATTGAATTATCAAATCATGAATTCTCAATTCACTAGCCGAGACCCTATATTATCGTAATCACTCTCTCGAGTGTTATTAGAATCCTCCCAATAAAGATGACTCCACCGCCAAAAAATCGATACAAGGGATCATTAGGACAAGTCCTTGATAGATTACCTAAGGTAAGAAGATTCTCTAGAATTATGACAACAAAAATCTATATTTTTCTAAGTTCTAACAAAGGAATCATCCTAATCTAAGAATCAATTCCATAGTTGATCAAGCAATAGAAATTATTAAAAACAAGAAAAGATAGAATATAAACATAAAAAAAGTGAATAACTAATAATCCTCTACAGAGGTTTCTTCATGATTATATATTGGAGATATTAATATTAAATAATAATACATTTCACTAAAAGCTTAAGCTTTTGGTTGAGATGGTCATTCAACATGGTATCAGAGCCAGGCCAAATGAAAGGTCCTGAGTTCGAATCCAACAGCCACCCATTTAAAAATATTTCAAGTGCAAGGCTTCAAATGTAATTCGACTGCACTCGAGGGGGCGTATTGGAGATATTAATATTAAGGGGCTATATGACAAACACCCCTCATTAAATTTTGACTTCTTGATAAATCTATCTTTTGTAATTGATATTTGTTATAAATTCAATTATTTGGAATTATCTAAAATGCCCCTATTTAATATTACTAAAAATTACCATATTATATTATTTTAAAAATGGGACTATTAGTCATAATCCCCTCTAGTGTTTTTCTAATAATAGGGGATCTATCCATATTTTCAATATTGGTAGGAAACCCACTATTTTAATTAATCCCGAAAATAGCCTTCTTGAAGCCACGTTATTTCTAAACAAAAAGTCACACAAAATCAGGAAAATAAACCGCTGAAATCGTGTGAGATTTTATCCCCATAATCTCTCTCTCTCAAATCTTTCCATAACTCCCACTGCAAAACCTAAATCTGCTAAACGACTACACCGGCGACATAACCTATGGCTCAAAAAATCGAATTGCTGCCAAATTCCTAAACTCACCTACCAAAATCTGCGAAACGACCATATTGTATCGTTCCCTGGGTAAAAAAAAAGTAGGCGAAGAAGCTACAAAAAAGTGAAATTCTTGAAGCAATGGACACCAACGCACCGCAATCAGAAAATAAAGCGACGTCTGCGAGCAGTAAGTATCCAAATTGAAATAGTCTTGTTCATTAACATCCTCTTTTCGATTATACCAAAAAAACACAGTCAAATGTGTTTGTTTTATATTTTGTTTTTGTGAATAGGAGAACGCATGATGAAAGCATTGAACGACATTCGGCTAACCGATGCAGGTAATTAATCTGTTATTCTTGCTGGAATTAGTGGGCTTTGTATGTAGAACTTGTTCAGTCGAAAATTCACATAACACGATGTGAAACACAATAGACTATTTGGCTGTATTAATTCGACTATTTGTGTTGTATGTAAATAGCCTATTCTGTAAATAGATCATTACGAATCATTGACTAAGAAAATCGTGGGCTTGAAAGTCTATTTATGGAGACATTAATATAATTTTAAATAGATGAATTTGTTAAATAGTTGTTTTGTAATTAGCTAAAATAGAAATAGTTGAATCTTACATATATGGTTTTGTTGGTATATATTTAGAATAGATGACTTTGGAAAAAAACTGTGTAGTTCGTGTTTGAGTATACTGCAAACAGACTATTTTGTAAGCAATTACTTGTAAACTATGTAATTGTAGAATATATGGTTGTATCGTAGATGTTTGTTTATGGTAGTTCATTAAGAATTGTTATTAATCTGTTATTGTTGCTGGAATTAGTGGGCATTTGTATGTAGTACTTGTTCAGTCAAAAAAAAAAAAAAAAGGCATGACACATTATGAATGAAAATAGTCAATTTGCATGTGTGTCTTGAATATTCTTTAAGTATTAATAGACTATTTGTGTTAGCTATTAATAGACTGTTTTTGAATTTGTTAAGTAGTTGTTTCGTAATTAGCTAAAATAGAAATAGTTGAATCTTACC